GGTGCAGTGTGAAAGCCTCTTGAATCTTCCTTGCCTTTCTTGTAATAATTGCTCCTTTGATATATGTAATTGGTCACAAATGGATTCGTATCATCGACCGTGGTGATGACGTGGAGGAGGCTTGACCTAGAAGGGATCACTAATTGTGTTGGCTAGGATGGCAGAAACTGCCGTTCATTGTGAGTAGCGTGAGAAACTTATAGTTAGAGGTGTACTTGACATTAGGTTGACTCACGGAATGTTTTCTTTTTCTTTATTCATTCTTAGCAGGCGAACTAATGTCTTCCGGTTATTGTTAGTATTTGAGCCACTGATGCACTCTGGATTACTGGACTAAATGATTGTTTTTTTTTATTGCTAGCCACTGAGGCGGGCACGAACTTGTAGGAATTGATTGTGTTATGAGTCTCTGATTATCTTTAATGCAACTGTTTCACGTCTCTGTATTGAAGGGTGAAGGGACAGGGGAATGATCGTATTATTTCGATATTTCAGGATGTATTTTCGACGGCATTACACTTTATGTTGCCTTAATGGGCGGGGGGGAAGTGAATAGGTAATATAGTGAAGTCATCTCGTTAAGTAGTGAAATTTTGGGGGCATCACATTTTAAATGTGAAATATTATCACATATTTGTCTATATAAAGCACAACATATGATATTTATGGCTTTGATATTAAAAGAAAGAATTCCATCACTTAATTTTAATTTTGACACACCATTTTCACAAACATACAAAATATTAAAATCAATAGATAACAAAAATGTTTTCATTCTATGCCTCCAAATATCATACTTTTTACCATTAAAGAATGGAAGTCTATCAATACAATAACTTTCAAAAAAATCTAAAGTTGTCATAACTCTGGCAATTAAGGTTTTCAAATAATTTTTCAAAAATTAACAAGATGCTTGGTATCGAGATAAAATTTGACAAATATTTTATGTAAAAGAGCGAAACCTCGCTCTGAGTACCAATTATTGGATCGATATGACAACCGGGGGGGGGGGTGAATATAGTTTAATTAAACATTATAAACTTTTTAACACGGTGAGCCCAATTTAAACAAACAAGTAAACTTTTTATGAACAAATGATTTTAACAAAAATTAAACAACAAATTAAAAATACAAACACCCTAATTAATTTCACCACCCAAATAATTCAAATATAAATATTGACCATAAACATGAATAACAAATTCTAACAATTAATTTCATGCAATTTATAATAATGAATTAACTGTAAAAATTAAATAGAAGAGAGTTAGAGAAAATAACACTGGAGATTAATAGTGGTTCGGCAACAACCGGCCTACTCCACTCCCCAAGTACCTCTTAGGTATTCGACTAAGAAACTTGACTCTTTCTACAGTAGGAGTCAAACCGGTACAACGCCTTCTTTTTCCAGAAACAAGAAGAAACTCGATCCTTTCCACGGTTACAGGATCAAACCGTTACAACACTCTTTTTCGGACTCAAGAGCAACTCTTACATAAGATTTGAAAATGAAGAACAAGCTTACAAACTCTCTCAAATAGTGGGTATACAACATTTTGCTCACAAATTTGTAAGAAAAATTCTTACAAATAAAAGCTCTCAATTGGCTATAAGAAAATAAAATTGGAAGCACAAATATCTCTTAAATAAAATATCCCTCGAGAATTTAGAAAAAAATTGAAGTTTTAAAGAGAGATTAACAATGAAGAAATTTGAGAGAAAATTGGGAGAGAAAAATTGGTTGTAAAAATTTGAGACAATGAGGGGTTTATATGGAGGGAAATAAGTTGAAATAAATTTGAAATTGATTTGAAAATTTGAATTAATTTAGACCATGATTTCAAATGATTAGAGATGAAAGGTTGAGATTAAACTTAATATAATAATAATAATGTGTGTGTGTCCAACGGCTATGTGAAGTGTATTTCTTTCTTTTTTTTTTAATCAAAGTTTTTTTTAAATTACCTAACGGTAACTTTTCATATATATATATATTGTCATTTCATTTCCTTTTCCTTTTTCTTTTCTTTTTGTTTCCCATCTTTTTAACAATACAACTTGCCACATGTCACTTTTATATTTGTCCATGTAGGATTCAACTGCCACATCATCTACCTCGGGAATTTATCCTTTCAACTTCATTTGGCTGTAACTTCTTCGTTTGAGCTCCAATTTGAGTAATTCAAAATCCGTTGGAATCGTCGTATCGAGCTCTGCGCTATAAACACTTTAAAACATTAAAATTGTCCAATAACAAAATATGTATTACAATAAATCATATAATATTATTGAAACTTATAATAAATTTATGCTTTATAACAATAATTCTTACGCACCAAAAACAATTAACACTAAGTGTATTTGTTATCATCAAAATACTAATTAATTAAATTAATTAATCGAGATTAAGGACCAAAAAACCAACACATTTATGGGCCGTCTCTTCAAGAGAAGACAAGATTACTTTTGAAAAAAAAAAAGATAAAAAGTATTATGATTTTATATAACAAATACTGCTATTATAATGAATCCGTATCTTATCACAGTGGTTAGGCTTAACGTATGCAATCGTTTTAGTTTTAATTAGTAATGTAACACGTGCATTGCACGTGGTATCTTAATTTTATCGCATCGTATATTAACGTTACTTTTAGTTATAAAAAAGTTATGAATCTATTAAATACTACCGTCATTTTTATTTATAACAAAATAAATTATCTATCAATAGTAAGTGATTTTTGGATATATTTTGATCATTATTTATTATTTTTAATATTTAGTAACACTTATTAAAATAAATAGCTCACTATTTGATTGAATAATTAATTTATATATATTTACAATTAATTTACCTATTCATCTTTCTTTTTTTTTTTTATCTTTTTTGAAATTAAAGTGCTTAAATACTCATACTCAATTTTATAATAAGAAAATTACATAAATAACAAAATAATAATTGTTTTTAAATTTAGAATTCAAGTCATTTAAAATGGTACAAAAAAAAACACAATTTGATTTGTATTCAAACTAATATTATCTAGATTCTTTTACTTAATATTAATTATATAATGACCTCACAAAGTATCGAATAATATATTTTATCTTTTAAAAATTATTGTTTTATTAGAAAATAATATTCTAAACTAAAATATTAGATTTATCTAAAGTTTTTACTATAAATATAATTAATTATTTTAAAATAATGAGTTTTGAATTAAAAAAATGGATATATTTTAAAATAAAAAGCTATGAATTAAAAAACGGATATTTTGATTATGAAGTAATGAAAAATTTATTCTATCATCTATTTTAAATAAATATAATACATTAAAATCAAAATATTTGATTTTTAAATTATATCATTTAACTAAATAATAGAAATTTAAAAAATTTATTAATGGTATAGTACCCAAGGCCCCAATAGTTTTCCTTCCAAAAGACTCCCCGCATCGACCCTCGACCATTTTTACCCGATGCCTCAATACTCCATTAGTGACGTATCAGCCCCCGACCATTTATACCCGAGGCCCTAACACTCACCCATTCACCTTCCCCAAGAATCCAACGTTCCTTGTCATAACCAACTTCACATCAACCCCTAGCCTGCGAATAGGGTCCGAAAATATGCTTCAATAACACCCACATCTCATAAGAAAATAATATGACTCAGACCAGCACGCTCGCATCATAAAGAAAGCATAATCACAATAACTCTATTATAACGTGCATCCTTTGTAAACACACATCATCCCACAACCATTCTCAGCAGTTTAACAAGGCAAAATTTCCACCATTATCACCAACGAATATTCAACACTACACCAAGTATACATAACACAACCGAGAGCTACCTAACACAACAACGTATCAAAAATAATATCAAACATCACAAAACAGCACAATAGAAGCCATCTGACACACATTAACGCACGCACACACCCTTTGTCTACTTACTCACAACCGCGCCCCTATGTTTTGTGTCGATCTCACACCTAGGCATTAAAACAGAAAAAAACACAGCAAGTTACATATACTATTCAGCCTTCGAAATCAATTATAAGAGGGTTCAAATGACTCATTACCACAAAATTGACTTCGTATAGGTGTGGGTAACCTAGATCTAGCTCGCCAAGGTGTGGGTAGCCTAAATCGGCTTCGAATGGTTGTGGGTAAACCCGAATGTCACTGAAACGCTGCTATCCACGAGTTGCAGCAGAGGGGACACACCAAATCAGCTACCGAACACTGCTGTACCCGAGCCTAGGTGAAGTGTTTGGACCCGAAGCCGTCAGGAGCCGTTCCCAAATGACGATCTGTCACGAATGACC